TTTTAATAATCAAATCTGAACCAGGGGCAGGGAGAGCAACACCTACTGCCACAGGGGAATGTGGGCCAGGCTACAGTGGAAGCACAGTCCAGTGGGATTTTACAGTCACTGAGTCCTAGAGCTGTACAGCATGGACACAGATCCTTCAGTCTAACTCGTCCATGCTGACCAGATATCCTAAATTAATCTAGTTCCATTTGCCAGCATTTGGCCAATTTCCCTCTTAACCCTTCCTATTCATGTACCCATCCAGATGCCTGTGTTAAATGTTATAATTGTACCAGCCTCCACCACTTCCTCTGGCAGCTCATTCCATACACGCACCACCCTCTGCGTGAAAAAGTTACCTTTTAGGCCCGTTTTGAATCTTTCATCTCTCACTTTAAACCTACGCCCTCTAGTTTTGGACTCCCCACACCCCAGGGAAAAAACTTTGTCTATTTACCCTATCCATGCCACTCATCATTTTATAAACCTCTGTAAGGTCACCCCTCAGCTTCCGATATTCCAGGCAAAATAGCCCCAGCCTATTCAGCCTCTCCCTATAGCTCAAACCCTCCAATCCTGCCAACATCCTCATAAATCTTTTCTGAATCCTTTCAAGTTTCAGTGTTTGCTGTTTGGAAAAGGGCACAAGGATAGGGATGTGCTACTGACAGGTCATTCAGCCCATCGAGTCTATCCCACCATTCCATACAACCATGGCTGACAGCACACTTCAATGCCTTTTCCTCACCCCATACCCCTGTATTCTGCCACCCCCCCGCCCTGTTTTAGAGAAATCTACCGATCTCTACCTCAAACATCTTCAAAGACTGAGCTCCAACAGCGCTCTGTGGTAGAGAACTCCCAAAGTTCACAACCCTCCCAGTAAAATAGTTTCTCCTTGTTTCAGACCTAAGCGACTTTGCTGTTTATTTTTAAAATCATGCCCCTGGTTTTAGATTCCCCGACTGAGATCCAATCATTGTGCCATCGTGGTAAAGAGTTGGGATCCTATGTAACAGTGACGCCAGGAAACTTGTGTTTGTTCCTTTCAGAGTTTCACAAAAGTCAAAGGAAACCATCTAGTCTTCAAATCAATGAGAGTGATCTACTGATTCTCAATCCTGCCCCCGACTGTCATCCATAATGTCAAACAAACCTACATATCAGGAGCTGGAGTAGGACATTCAGCCCCTTGAGCTCTGCTGGTCAGTATGGTCATGGCAGATCCAATCAGTCTACATTGCCACCAGCTCCTGATAACCTTTCACCCCTCACTCCAGGAATCTCTCCACCTCTGCCTTTAAAATATCCAATGACTCTCCTTCCATCAGCTTTTCAAGAACAATCCCAAACCCTCTGAGGGAAAAGAGTTTCTCCTAATGTCTGATTTAAATGGATGCCCCCTGATTTTAAATGGTGACCCCTTGTTCTAGATTCTCCCACAAGAGGAACCATCCTTTACACATCCACCACACCCCCCAGCCGCCCCTCAGAATTCTGTATGTTTCAATCAAGTCCCTGTCACGTTTCGAAACTCCTGTAGATCCAGACTGCCTAACCTTTCCGCAAGTACTCCCCACCGATTCCAGGTTTTAACCTGATAAACCTCCTTCTTTGAACTGCCCCCAGTACAATTAGATCTTTCCTTGTTCAAAACTCTGTTACCCAGATCCAGGTCCCCTTCACTAATCTCTCACGCCCCTCTGCTGGTTCCTAATCTTAAGTTTAAAATTTTTGTTTGTCCTTGTCTTAGTTCAGATCCACCCATAGCCTTGGCCCTTCCTTATCTCTTGAGCCATGACCCTGTGTGGTTTCTGCACTTCTTCCAATTCTGGTTCCTTGAGCATCTCCCGATTCCCACTACATTCTCAACGGCAGCGGTGCCTTCAGCTGCCTGGGCCCTGAGCTCTGACACTCCCTCCATAAACCTGTCTGCCCTTCACTTTCCGCCTTTGAGTCCCTTTAACAGACCTTGCTGACCAGACTGTTATCCTGATACAGTACCTCCTTCTGAGGCTGAATGTTAACAACTTTGTCAGATTTTGGAGTATCAACCCCCTCAGCATCAACAGCTGCCTGCTTTTTGGTGAGAGGGAGAGAGTTCCCTCTCCCCAGCCTTGCACTCCCCTACTCTCGCCACTCTCCTCTGCCTCTCCCCACTCCTGCCCCCGCCCCGTCCCCTCTCCTCCTCCCAGAGGAAATAGGGTTACTACAGAGGAGCTACCCAACCCTTCTAATCTCTTTTTTTCATCACTTCATTTTCTGCATTGGAGGGATACCAGCCAACTCTAAGAGACCTGTCTTTGTAAAATTAACCTTTTTATCACTGGGCTCATTGTGGTGAATCCATGCCACTCCCTTCCTGGGGCTGCTATTCCTTGTGAGGTGTGGGCCTTGGGTGTGAGCCCAGTTACTCCAGATGGGGCCTACAACCAGAGCTTTAGAGAAACTGTAAGATCAGCTTCAGGCCCGGGTGGATTCCAGAACCAATGAGGTTACATTCCACTCTGATATCCCATTTTGTACAGATCAAGGTGACTTTCTCAGAGTCTCTGCACTGAGAAGAAGCCAGAGACTTGGTGCCCAGGTTAATAATTCTTTCTGCACCCCCACGTCTAACCTCTGGGGCCCTGAGCCAAGACTTATTCCTGCTGTCACTGACACAGAACCAGGGAGTCGGGGTCTGTCAGAGCAGTACTTTCGGTCAGTGCATTGGTCAGAACAGAATTGGCCTATGAGGAGGTTTGGGAATCGAAGAGGGGTTTGATGGGCTCAGGCTGGCTGGGGTTGACAGGGCCCGGTGGGGAGGGCTACTGCTGTAGGACGCAAGAGGCATTGGCTCAGGGCCAGACAGAGCAGAGTGACACAGCTCTGCGCAGAGTGACACAGCTCTGCGCAGAGTTCTCCCTATTGCTGACATGTTGTTGGAGTCTGAGCGCAGAGACATGGCATGTTGTTGGCTAAGTGTAAACACACCCTGCATCCACTGAGCAAATCACCAGGAAGACAGTGTCTAAACAGGCTGCTCCCTGGATACCCGCTTTATCAGAGTATCAGATTAACACTGGCCTGTGTTCTCCCTTGCAGATAGATAATTAAGGAGTTATTTTCAACTGTTTCAGACCAGCCCTTAATTGTCACTTTTGTTAACCCATGAGACTAAGTGAGGAAAAAGGAAAGAACTCGCATTTTGATAGCACCTTCCACAGGTAGAAGACATCCCAAACCATTTTGCGGCCCACATAGTAAACACTGATGCCAAGGAACAAGGACACCATCACTGTTGCCCCAGTCATCTTCAAAACAGCAGTACGTACGTGGGACGGTGCTGGCCCTCCAACAGCACGGCGCTCCCTCAGTGCTGACCCTCCAACAGCGCGGCGCACCCTCGGCACTGGGAGCACTGGTCTAGATTCTGTGACCCTTGACATTCAGTCTGAAAAGTGAGACTGTTATCCCAGCAGCCAGCACTGACCCTGGTGGAATTTGTACTGAGGGAGCCGTGCAGTGTTGATGTGGCCATCTTTCGCATGATTTGAGAACATGATCAGGAAGTCCTCGGTTAGTGCAGATTGGAAGATATTGGAACAGAAGTAGGCCATTCCACCCACCAAATCTGTTCCCTATTCGATGAGATCATGGCTGATCTGACAATCCCAGACTCCACTTTCCTGCATTTTCGCCATAACCCGCGTTTCTCTTCCTGATCAACAATCTGTCAATCGCAGCCTTGAATATTCTCAGTGACCAGGCTGTAATAGGTTTGCTCACCCTTGCTGCATTCCACACTCTGGTCTACACAGTTTGCGATGAGCCATGTCACTGTTGGCCCATTGCTGGGACAAAGGTCCCTCACTGAGTGCCCATAGCTGCCTCCCATACAACCACACCCTCCTTTCCTGACCACTGGCCGTGTCAGAATGACCTCCATCTGTGGGGTTTGTCAGCCTTCTGAGGAAAAGTGTAATGAGGCATGGCTCAGTGCCCCAATGGGTTAGAGGTTGAGGAGCAGTGTGAACATTGGCACCAAACCTCTGGTTCCAGCTTTCTGGAAAGAACAATAATGAGCCAGATGGGTTTTTCAGTACTGTGATCAGAACGTTGGAACTGGAGCAGGCCTTTCAGCCCCTAGGGGACTGTCCTGCAGTTCAGCAAGATCCCGACTGATCTGCAATGTACCTCCAAACACCGTCTCTAACATCACTGGATAAAAACCGAAAGAACTGTGGATGCTGTTAATCAGGAACAAAAACAGAAGTTGCTGGACAAGCTCAGCAGGTCTGGCAGCATCTGTGAAGGAAAAAAGAGTTAATGTTTTGGGTCTGGTGACCCTTCTTCAGGACACAGTTTTGTTTTTGATCACTGGATAAAAATCAGTCGTAGCAGATTTAGAATGAGCAACTGATCTCACGCTGACCACTGTTGTGTGTCAGAGACCTTCCACATTTCATTCTGGAAAGATCCAGTTGTAATGTTTTCTCTCTGCCCCTTATCCCAGACTCCCCCACCAACAGTATTTGTTTTCCTTCAGCAACCCCTGTAACCGATAGTATTCTGAGAACTTTCAAATTGCACCTTAACCTTCGAAGTACTTAGAAAGACACCTCCATTTTCTCTGTAGCATAGAGTTCAGGTATTATTTTGGTAAATCTATGCTTGTAGCTTTTCCCTCAAGGGGAGACAGTGATGATAAAGTAATGTCAATGGGAGAGTAATCGAGAATCTAGGACCTGAATGCCACCATGACAGATGGATTTAATTAAAATCTGGAATTACAAGTTAGCCTAATGGTGACCATGTAACCACTGTCGATTGCTGTAACAATCTGGCTCACTAAAGTCTTTTTGGAAAGGAAATCTGCCATCCTTATCCAGTCTGGCCCAATATGTGACTCAGAGCTGCAGCAATGTGGCTGATGTTATTATCTGCAGGTTCAGAGTGGGTTGTGGGAGGGGAAGGTGGTTTGTTCTCTAGTTGTTGACATGTTGGATTTTGTTTTGGTGGGTTTGCAGGTTGCTGATGGTGAGAAGGTGATTACCACAGCCCAGGAATGCAGAGCATTAAATGTGTGGTGGTGGGAGATGGTGCAGTTGGAAAGACCTGCCTTCTGATCTGTTACACCACCAACGCCTTCCCTAAGGAATACATCCCAACCGTCTTCGACAACTACAGTGCGCAGATCACGGTAGACAATCGGACAGTTAGCCTGAATCTGTGGGACACTGCTGGTCAGGAGGAGTATGATAGACTCAGGACATTGTCCTACCCCCAGACCGATGTCTTCATCATCTGCTTCTCCATAGCCAGCCCCCCGTCGTATGAGAATGTCCGCCACAAGTGGCACCCTGAGGTGACCCACCACTGCCCAGATGTGCCAATGCTTCTGGTGGGCACCAAGAAGGACCTGCGGAACGACCCTGAGACCATCAAGAAGTTGAAGGAGCAGAGCCTGAGCCCCATCTCCCATCACCAGGGCAACGGGCTGGCCAAGCAGATACAGGCTGTGAAGTACATGGAGTGTTCTGCCCTCAACCAGGAAGGAATTAAAGAGGTGTTTGCCGAGGCTGTGAGAGCCGTCATTAACCCAGCTCCAGTGAAAAGCAAACGGTCCTGTGTGCTTTTGTGAGGAAGGTTCCTCTCCCCCTCCCCTCCCCCCCACCTCATCATTCACCCCACCCGAATCCTGCCCTTGGTTTTGCCACAGTCAGGACATTGTAATCTCCGTGCCAGTCTCCAGGAAATGTCCCTGGGAAGTCCCACACTCAAAGGAGAGTGGCCATGGACAGAGATCTACAATAGGTCTGGTTTCCAATATGCTGATCCCAACATCTCTGCATCCCCAAACCCCCCCCACCCCTCTTCCCCCACACCTGTCTCTGTAGAAAAGTCATGCCTCATGTATTTTGAGACGAGGTCAGAAATCACACGACACCAGGTTATAGTCCAACAGGTTTAGTTGAAATCACAAGCTTTCAGAGCACTATCCCTTCGTTCTCATGATGAGCGAGGAGTGCTACAAAAGCTTGTGATTTCAAATAAACCTGTTGGACTATAACCTGGTGTCGTGTGATTTCTGACCTTGTCCACCCCAGTCCAACAACGGCACCTCCACATTGTATTTTTGGATGAATCTGGGAGTGTGTGAAGGGGACCACATCCTTGGCAGGATAGCTGGTGTCATTGCAGGTCTGCTGTCCTAGAGTCCTTCTCCCTGTGTCCAGCATGGTTCCTGGTTGTAGCCGGGTTCTCCTAGTGTATGGTTCATCCTTGGACCTTCCCTCCAAACTGGTGTTCCACTGGACGTTGTCTTTATTCCTGCTCGTGGAACAAGCTGCTCATGAGGAATGGTCCACATCTCCCAATGGATTAGCAAGAACACCCTCAGTCATTGCCTCAACCTATCCGCATCTTCTTGTACCTCCACCTCACACTGGTCGAGAGTCTCCAGGTGAGCCAGCCCTGGAGAATCAAGTGGCTCCCCTCTCACCTTTAACACAACTGCACTAGCTCTCCTGAGCCTAGACTGGTTGAGATTTTTGGGAGATCTTGTAAGGATGTTTTACTCCCAATCCAGAATCAATTCCGAACAAGAGACTCAGTGAACTCTTTCCAAATTGATTGCTTTCAGTTCAGTGGCTTTGTTTCATCCCTGGAGGGCAGGGTGAGATAGGGCTTGATATGTTAAAAATGATGACCTGCTGTTTGACTCGGAGGTTGAGGCTCTGACAGTGTACCACTAGAGGCCTTGGGCAGTGGATGGAGTGAGAGTGTGAGGAGATTTCCTGGGGAGGAGGAGGTTGGGGACCAGAATGGTCCTGATTGTGACACACCGTACGGGTTTACACAAGGTACCAGTCCCCAATCCCCTTCTTCCTGCCATAAATATTCAAAACCACTTTCACTTCCAATACTGTGGGTTTAGCAGTCCCCTCCTCCTGTCGTAACCTGTAAACCACTCTGCCGATGAACTCAAAAGGATTAACTCCGCTGCACGGTCTGATTAGTCAGATGAAAATGGAGATATTCGCTTGGGAGCCAGTGCCTTCTAAAGATGGACAGAGACACCGGAACAGTCCAGGAGCTTCCAGAGTGAGCTCCCTCAACAACAGAAGTTATACTGATACCTCCAGAATGATCAGGCTCTCTCTGGAGCTGCGGGATCTCCATATTCTAGCATTCCCCAATTTTGGATTTGCTTTCCGTCCAGAAGCTTCCACAACCCTCTTCACCGCCCCTCAACCTTTTCCCCATACAACCCCCCCTTTCCAAACAAAACCTCGATGAAAAGTAATAGGGGCTTGGTGGTCTTTTTAAAACAGCAATGTCTTGTCTCTTTTGACCATTTATTTTAACTTGTAAGAATGTTGATGTTGCAATAATTGCTTGACATGAAGGTCAGGTCAAATGGAATTGGATAAGGTGGGGAATTTGAGACTGTGGCCTTTGTGATTGGGAGAGGAACAGTGAAGATCTGGCCAATGGCAGGAACATGGACAGCGGGTGGTTAGAAATCCATTGGATAACCACTACCCACCCTGATGCATGTCCAACCAGAGCTGAGACCAACTGAGAGGTGCTATGATGCTTTCCCTAATCCTGCTGAGCACCCCCGCAATCCCAACCCCAACCCCAATCCACCTTTGCGTGAGGCAACTTCATTAAATATAACACGTGCCTCCCAGGAGCCTTGGGCTGAAATCATGGTTCCTAAAACAACTGCCACCAAACTCCAATAAGCCACTGAAATACAATCCACCTCACTCGAGCTACCCCCACCCCCAACATCACCCTGTGTCTTCTCACTTCAGCTCCTTCTATGTGGGCTCACTCTTGCTTGTCTTGCAGCTCATACGGTTGAATGACCTATTTGCAGCAGGCATTATACAGAAATAACGACCCCTGTCCAAAGCTCAGCTTCAAACCTTTGAGGCATCATTCACATATGCTCTCTCCGACAGAGATTATAATGAAGCCTTAATTTTACAGTTGCCCCTGCAGCTTAACATTTACCTCACCCCTTAACCTGCTACAATGTCCTGATAAATTAGGTGCTTTTTAAAACAAAGTCTTCTTGATTAAAAAATGGATGTAACAAACTCAATCTGCTCTTTTGTAAATCTATAATGTGTAATCTTTTGAAGTATGCTTTCTTTTGCTGGAATGTTTAATTTCTCTGACATTGCATTGTTTTAATTTTTGAGCTAATAAAGGCTTTATTATTGGCTTATGTTGCTAGTTCTGAGATCGAATGGCCTAGTGTTGTCATAGTGACGGGCCAGCATTTTGAAGCCTGGCGTTAGATTTGTTTCCTTTGCCTGACTGTAGCTGACCAGTTGCTACAAGATGAAAGGCTGTTTGACAAGGGCAGGTCACTTGCCCTCTGTTTGTAATCCCTCGAGTTTAGAAGATGAAAGGGTGATCTAATCAAGAGATTTAAGATGATTAAAGGGTTTGATAGGGTTGTTAAGAGAGAAACTATTTCCTCTGGTGAACGGATTCCAGAACAAGGGGCTGAACCTTAACATGTCAGCCAGATGATGTCAGGAAACATTCAGGGGTGTGGAAAGCTGGAACTGTCTCCTGTGAAAAACTATTACTGCTGGGAGAACAACTGGAAATTCCCAGACTGATTTTTGTCAGTAAATACCGACCACATTCACATAGGGATATCTACACCATCCGCTGTTTCACATTCTCAATCCGTATTCACTCTGGATCTGTTCACACCCTCTGCCTATGAAGCATTTTGTAAAGCATTTGGTGTAACATTTGTAAACTGTAGTTGCTGCTGTGCAGGGACCGAGAGTCCCAACAATGGGACTGATCAGTTTTTCTTCAAAACACTGAAGAAATCCAAGCAGGAGAAAGCCACTTGGCCCTTCAGGTCTGCTGCACCATTCAATGCAGTCATGGTTGTCCTTAACCCTGAACCTCATCTCCTACTCACTCCACATACCCTATTTATAGCCTGCAATGTCCAAAAAGCCAAGGATCTGTTCCCTCTGGAATATACAGTGACTGAGCATCCGCAGTTCCCAGGGGTGGACAATCCAGAGATTCACAGTCCTCCAGTGAAGAGCATTTATTCTCCCCTTAGTCTGAAATTATCACTTGCTAAACGAGATACATGACCCTGTCTCAGGCTCTCCAGTTTACGGAAAACAACCTACCAATGTCTGCCCTATCACGGCCCTTAAGAGTCTTGTATGTTTCAATGAAATGACCTCCAGAGATTTACCTCCACTACCGACCCTCTGACAGTGTGGCACTCCCTCAGCACTGACCCTCCCAACAGCGCGGCGCTCCCTCAGCACTGACCCTCCGACAGCGTGGCGCTCCCTCAGCACTGACCCTCCGACAGTGTGGCACTGACCCTCCAACAGCGCGGCGCTCCCTCAGCACTGACCCTCCGACAGTGTGGCACTCCCTCAGCACTGACCCTCCAACAGCGCGACACTGACCCTCCAACAGCGCGGCGCTCCCTCAGCACTGACCCTCTGACAGTGCGGCATGTACATTACACCAAAAGGCTCAGACTGGTTTATCCCTCCTCAGTCTCCAGTGTGGGATGTGAATCCATAACATCTCAGCAAGACATTAGAGTGGGCCTGGTGAACAAAGGCTATATAATAATTGATCCACCTGCACTCGCTTGATTCTTCCACTTTTTCAGAGCTGTCACAATCACGGCCCACTGTGGATCTGATTGTCACCCACTTCCCTTTGCTGCTGTGTGCCTCGATGATGTGCAGCTACTGTATTGATGGCTCTGCTCAGTGACAAAAAGGGGAACAATGAAATGAGCATGTATTTAAAGCAAGTGATGAGACAGCGACAACCAGCGATTCTGCAAAGTGCTGATTCCCTGGTTCCTCTTTCCAGACACAGAACATTTAGTGGGAGATGCTGAGGAAGACACAATTGCAGGAACATACGGCATCAGCTCCAAAGACTCTGCCAAGCCAGGGATTTCGTAAATGAGGCAGACAGTCTGGATTCTGTGTTCAAATCTCTGACGTGAGAGCCACATCTCCTGATTCAGATAAGGATGCAGCCACTACCATTGCTGATCTTTGACTCAATTTCCAGTCTTAGGAGTTCTGCTAGTCTCTCTCCATTCTTTTCAGTGAGCTAGAGCACAGTAGATAACATTCTCAATTCAGTTCATGTGTCAGTGCTGAGGGAGTGCCGCACTGTCAGAGGGTCAGTACTGAGGGAGCCCTGCACTGTCGGAGGGTCAGTGCTGAGGGAGCCCCACGCTGTCAGAAGGTCA